TGATGGGTCTTTAAAGCCTTGTAATTATACCTTCCCATACAGTAACTCTATTCCCAAATGAAAAGGAGCTATTTTGGGATTGACCAGGGTCATCCCAGTGGCTTTAAAAAGTAAGAGGAGTGCTTTTTTAGTTCTGTTTGGCATCGTGTTTGGAAAGTTCATCTGCGTGTGACTGTGGGGAGCTGAGAAAACCGGGGCCTTGTGGTGTACACAGTTCCTGTGATACCACTGGCTGGGAAACAGGAAGTGCCTCTTGCAGCTCTGTTGTGTACTCTGGTGGCCTGTTTGGACACCAGATGCTTGGATGATTGAGAGTGGGTTTGGGGATAGAGCCCACTCATTACAAATGTATAATTTTCACAAATAAGAAAAATCTGTTGTTTTTTGCCCTTTTATGGTCTTTGGTCTGTAAGGCATCTCCTCTGCTTAGCCTGCTGGGCTCAGTGCTGCTGAGGCAATGCTTACACTAGGTTTATTATATTTCTGTCATTCAGATATTTTGTGGACATTTTACCCGCAAAATATACAATCAATCCACTTTACAATATATTCTGTGAAGCACTTTGAGACATGTTAATGATAAGGCGCAAATTACAAAATGACATTTGTATAGCGCCTTTCTCGGCGGAAGGATGTCGCAAGGCGCTTTTGTAAGGGTTATTACTCACAGATTTCTCGTGCAGTGATGGTCCAAGATAAAAAGGACAAATATTCACAGGGTATGGGAATCGTAAAAATTTATAACACAGAAGAAGGCCATTTGGCCCATTATGTTTGTAGACCTTAGAATGGGTAGTTTGTTAGGCTAAATTGGAAATGTTTAGTTCTGTGTGGCTACTCTCGCTAATACCTGTTCTCTTCAGCTATAGAGCTGTTGCTAGACATGGTTACAATATAATTAATAATAATACTTGTATTTGATATAGTGCCTTATCACGTCGTTGAGACGTCTCAAAGTGCTTCATAGAATATACTGTAAAATGGATTTACTGTGTATTTTGTGGGTGAAACACGACAGCCAATTGCACAAAGCAGTGTCCCACAGCCAGTTGTGGATTGAGTGAAGAATTTTTTTTGTATGGGACTATTAACCTCCGGAAGCAATCTGTCAATCGACCAACAATCGGATTCCTACTTACTGCTAGGTAAATAGACGTGTGTGGACTAAGGAAACTTTCCTAAGGTTTTGCCCTGCCTGGAAATTGAACCCGAGTCTTCTCACTTGCAAGGTCAGCGCGCTAACCACTATGCTATGGGACTCCACGAGGATGTCTCCAAGCGCTGTACGCAGCTGGTTGGGGTGTGGGTGGGGTGGGGGCAGATGACTGAAAGCATTTTTGAAGATGTCGGGAATTTAAAAAAAATAAGAGGTCATAAATGAACAATTCATTTCAGCAGTTTTGAATGATTGTGGAAACGGAATGCGGTGCTCATTCCTTATTCCATGCATTCCCCAGTGGACTGAGTTTTATGAATGCTCTCAATGATGAATCGATTGCAGCTGCACCCAGCTGTTCAGAAACGTGAGGGAAAAGTCCAGAAATATGAGGGAAACCCCCTTTTAAAAACTCAATAATGACGAAGAATTGGAGCGGGTTGTAACCTCTCTCTTTAAGCAATATTTTGGTTGTAATTAGTCCTGGAGTCACTGTTGGCCACTCCTGGTAACTACCCAAAGTTGCACGGACCGGAGGTGGCAGTCACTGGACTGTATCGGGGCAGGGTTCCTGCGAGCAAGTGTGATTATTTCTGGTGATCAGTAGGAGCTGCTGTCACATTTTAGAGCCCCATGGTTTGTATAGTGTGTGCTGAGAGTAGTGATTACGTTTTGAGTGGAGATCCTATTGGAGTGGGAGTACATCAGCAGATATCACCATTAATCCAGTCCTCTCGCCAGTCAAATCGCAAGTGAGAGGACCCAGATTTGATTCCCGGTCAGCGCGAGACCTTAGGCAAGTTTCTTGACTCCAAACATCTCTGTTCACCTAGCAGTAAGTAGGAACCTGGTTGTTAGTCAACTGGCAGTTTGCTTTCCAGTAATAATTCCCCACCTCAAAATAAATAAATAAATTGCTCACTCACTCCACAAATGTGTGTGGGACTTTGCTGTGTGCAATTAGCTGCTCTTCCACAAAATACACTTTGAGAGTCTCAACAATATAATATTAAATGCAAGGTTTATTAGTATTATTATAAATGTTTGGCCACCTGTGTTTTTAAAACAATGTTTTCTCGTCACTGCCAGTGTGGCTTTCTGTAAGCCTAATGCTGCATATGCACAAGAAGTGACGTCAATGGAGACACGACGATGCAGAAGACAAACATATTATCACACTTGGTTGTAGCCCATGAGCCGAGAGATTGGAAAAACTCAGCTTGGGAATCCACTCTCCATTCTTGGCACTGGTACAGCAAGACAACGGAGGCTGGCTCAGCTGTGGCCCATTGACTATTTAATAGCCTGCTGCCACCTAATGCTCAGTGGCTCACAAATGGTCACTTGGGCAAAGAGGGCTGTCAACTTGCATAAAATGATTTCCTGGCACAAAGAGGCCGGCAAGAGACAATTTTATCGTGTCTGCTTGTTGTGAATGTTGTTTAGATATTGGATTAGAATATACCATCGGTATGCTGTATTTTGGTTTAAATGTCCAAACGTGGGTTGCTGATGATGACATTTAAAGGGTCAGCAGCTATTCCTGCTACTTAATCAACATGTTTTATTAAACAAAAGGTTTGATGGCCCCCATGTGAGGCAATTTGCAGTTTCTGCTAAACAGTAGAAATGCCTGGGAACTGGAGATCAACGCCACTTTGGTTGGTTCAAATGTCAAAGCCCGAAGGTCAATGCAATGTTTGGTAACATGCAAAATAAGTGTTTTGGTGCACAGAACCTAAAATGAACAGCATTGCACTGCCGCAGTTAGAGCGAGCACAGGAGTTGTTCCTGCAGTAAGATGCAACCTTTGCATTTAATTCTTGCATTGATTAATCAGCCTTTTCAAGCTTTGTCCAATATTTATTGGCTTGAATTGTAATATTCGGATCAAACCCGCTGTAGCACTGCCAGTATATATCATTGACTGGTACCAACTCATCTTGCATTGGCAATAAGTCAAGCTGAAGATTTTTGTACTGACGTACTGGGAAATGCTGGGTGGTTTATGATCTCAGCCGGTAATATTTTCCATCCTGAACTCCAGCACATATTCATGTTACTCATATATTAGGGTCCTGGATATTAACAAGTGTGTTGTAATGTCAAACGTAATGTCAAACAGCTTTTGTAAACTCTTGCTCAGAGTTATAACGCAGGTCATTTCTTTCAGGAATTGTGTGGCCTGAGCTGAGGCATCCTTTGGTAACCTGTCTGCAGTTGGATTTGTTTATATCTTGTTCTTTCACAACCTTTCAGCACTGGGTCAACAGCTGTAGGTTGTGCACTTCAGTGTGAGACTGAGAAAAAGCAAGATCTGTAACCGCCAGCCTGCTTAATCATTGTTCCTGCAGATATATCGCAATTGAATCAACAGAAAACTGCACAGTTTGAAAGCCCCCCCCCCCCACTAATAACATCCGCTTATACCAGATTTGTCTTAACCTATAAAGTGCCAAACCAGTCCTGTAGAGTGTTACTTGTTCGGAGTGTTCATCACTCCTTTTGGAACCTGATTGAGTGTGTTGGGCTCTTAAGTAATCCCAGCTCCATTTCTTTAAGTGTTTTTAATTTTTTTAATTTTTATTTTAATATTTAATATAATCATTTTTTAGAAGCTCCGTGCCCCCATCTCAAGACCGTCCTTTTCAACCGCGCCTTTGGTCAACTTCACCCTTCCTGCCTCCACCTCTCCTAATCCCAACCTCCAACCCTGACAGTTGGGACATTCTCCTGATGTGAAAGGCATTGTACAAATGCAATTTGTTGTTGTAATCTTGCAAGGGTAAATATTGCAATGTCGATAGTCTTGCTTTGAAACTTTTTTCTGAATTTACCGGTGCTGATTCATTCTTCGGCCTCCATTTAAGCCACCTGGCCTTTGAAAATGGGAGCAGTTTCAAATTATGGCTCATGGTTCTATAATTATGCATCACTCCTGGCTGGAAGAGAACAAATGAGAAGGTGTACGGGCATAGTATCCAGGGAAGCAATGTTTGTTTTGAAAATTCCCGTGATCAATATGATGTACTTCTGATTTCTGAGGCGCAAGTCATTATTTTCAACTCAGATGCTTTTGTGTGCATTTATCTCAGAGCTGTTGAACACTATTTTCACTTCCAGGCTGTTTGTGGGACTTTGCTGTGCACAAGGTGGATGCTGCATACGACAACTTGCATTTATATAGCACTCTTCACACGGAGTGCTTAACAGTGGCGGAGCCTGACACTGAGCCAGGGGGAGGGGGGAGATGACTGTAAGCATGATCGAAGAGGAACATCTTCAGGTGTGATCTGAAAAGGGGGAAGGAGGAGCAAAGCAGAGAGATTGATGGAGAGGGTTCCAAAGTTTTGGTGCGCATGACTGAAAGCATGAAAGCATGTCTGAAAGCATGACGCTATAAAATAGTCATTGTACTTTACAGTAAATCCAGTTTTGTGACGTCTTTCCGAAATGAAATGCAATGTATCAAATGCAAGTATTATTATTTTGACCCTGTCTTGGCTACTGGTTAGGTTCCTAACTCGGAACCAATCTTTTGAGTTGGAGTGAAGGATAACTTTCAGCAAATGCTAGTCTTTTTCAAGTGGCTTTTGATGTGCGAAGGCTAACAGTTGTAACATTTTTCCCATGTTGCAAGGGAGAGTAAAATCAAATGCTTTGATGCTTATTTCATCCTGAACTACTGACAAATTAGCTGCACAAATAGTAGGCTGTATGGATTTAACCTCCAGCAGTACCTCAGACACACACTGTGAGGTCCCCAAGCTTTGGCTTTCACATAAGAATCGAAGTTCTACATTAGTACCTTTTCCTCTGATGATTCCTTAGCTTGCTATGTCAGATATCCGGATTGGACCAGACGTCGTGATGGATCCAGCTTTCCTCGTAACAAGGTAAGCTGCAATCATTTCAGGGAGGTGGGTCTGAAAGCCTTCCTTTGCTTGTGCAATCTGCCTTTTTCACAACTATCTAAGTTTTGTCTCTTTGTTGAAAGTATCGCTTTTAGCCTTCGCTCTCTGTAAATTTGCTGAAAGCTCTAAATGTCGTTCTGAGCGAGGTTGGAATAACTTCTTTCAACTTGATGCCAAATGCCTTCAACACGCAGCCTAGTATTTCATAAGCTTTGTTGAATGCAGACAAGGTGGCTTGCTGTACAAAGCTAATGCAGACAAGTTTGAGTTTGTGGTGTCTAACATACAGTGTTTCTTAACTAGATTTCTGGATGAGAAATCCTTTCAGAATATTTGCTGCCTATGGGCAGAAGTCTCCCTTTGGTTATAGACTATGTCTGAACAAAGGTCTCATGGGTTTTTGCGATATTCTTCCGGGTTGCAAACTCCCCATTTGTGTGTTGAGTCTTGTTAAGAAATCCTTATGGTACAGATCTACAATTAAAGAGATATTGGCGATTAAACCTCTTGATAGTAAATTCAAAGGAATGTCTTATTCAGTTTGACAGATTAGTTGCATTTTTAAAAAAATGTTTGCTAATTAATCAATCTGTGCCCTCAATAAAAGGTTGCAGGGCTGGCTTGTTGATGTCCCAAACTTTGCCTGGGTGAATGTTGAGACCTTTCATTGCTGTCTACCACTTAGCAGGTGAATGCTATTGTGAAGATCTTTGAGCAAAGGACACAAATAACAAATGCTGTGTCACGTGTGTTTGAACATAACTTTTCTGCGGTAGGTATGATTGCCAATATACAGTTAATTACGGCGAGTACTGTAATAAATGGTGGAGATGTCTTATTATGTTTAACAGATGCATAATATGATTTCTGGTTCTGGTTTCTTGGCAGATGTCGTGTAGGGTAGTGGTAGATTGCTACCACTGGATTGCTAGATTGCTGGAACCTGTCAAAGGCAGTCAAGTTTCCCATGTGTGGCAGTTTTTCTTCACTCTTCCATTCCCACCATCACCAGATTTGCTTGGACCTCTCCATTAGGAAATGGAAGTTCAGGACTATCTGTCATCCTTTCTTACTGACTCCCCTGCCCTTCCCCATCTAACTCCTATTGTTAAGGAGAAGGTGTAAGATTAATCACCTCTCAGATTAGAATGCCAAAGAATTTAAGAACAGGGCAGAATATTACTCTTCAAAATATGAGAACATTGTCACCTTCAAGGAATTAAATGCCACATTCTTGTATGTAGACACTTGAGAGACCCAGCAGGTTTTGTGCCTGTGATTATAATTCTGTCCTTTGTGAGTGAGTGGCAAGTAATTTGGGCCATTGGAGGTCTGTTGATGGGTCTGTATATTCTCAAAGAATGAATGTACTTTCCATTATAAACTGGATTCAATAACCTCCAGATAAACTGCTTTGGTTTTATTGAGCAACCAATAAGAGATTTTGAATGCTGCCTCATTTATCCTGAGTCTGAATGGCTGTAGTTCTCTGCATAAGGTATGAGATCAGTGTAACGCAGATCAGAGCAGAGTATGTGGACAACTTCCAGGTTTAAATTCCATTACTATTCAGTTACTGTAAAAGCGCCCTCAGTATGGAGCTTGAACAATACATTTGGTCCTTCGTCTCTCTTTTTTTCTGACTGAGCTCATTTGGTAATGCAGGCTTGGGGATTATTTATCTTTGCCTCAATTGAACGGTTACCAACCAATTCATTTTAAAGCTGCAACCTGTCCGCCTGCCCCCTAAGCAGCTGAACAGTGATCCCTAGTGGGCTCAGTACTGCATCTGGCTAAGATATTTGGTCTTTGATACTGCCTTTCATAACAGGAGACATAGATTTAACATCCTTGTAGTGAAGGGTCTGAGGCTTTCCTATCATTGTAACTGTTGGTCAAAGCCAACAATCCTCTACATAAATTGGTTATTCATCTTATGATTGATGAGTGACTTTGCTCCTGCATTTGCCTATGAAAAAGTCACTCACCTCATGTGACTGTAATTGCTGTGCAGTGTTTTTCAGACTTTATAAGAGCTATAAATGCATCGTTGGCAAAAGCCAAGGCTTGGGGACACCAGAGTATGCATTGGGGTACTGCTGGAGTCTAACCAGCTAAATAGCTTGCTATTGATATTGCTGTCTGAAAAGATTTCCTGCTGCTTGTCCAGCTAGGACCACCCTACTAGTTAGGGCTTTGGCTTGCAGGGTTAACAGGAGCTGAGTGAGAGGAATGAGAGGAGGCTCGATGGATGGCAAAAACAATGTCTTAAAATTAAATTGTTTTCTAACATCATTTTTTTTAAAAGTGGCTGTAACCTATGTTATTGGGATTCCTACTGTACTATAAACCTGCAATATGAATAAACCTGGAATATGAAGTTTGAAGCAAAACAAATGCTTGATCTGATTATCTGTGGCAAACACAATACATTTTTTTATAAATGAATTTGCTGCTGAACGCTGTCTTTTCAACAGCACTTTGTTTAAGAATTGTTTTTGAGTGATCAGAAGAAGGATGGTATTTGGATTTAATGTGGAAACGTAAGGAGTTGAGTGTAGCTTGTGCCATATTTGCCTAAATTGTTTTTTTTCTCATAGTTGGAATGAAGAATTGCCAAGTGCTTTGGGGCGTCCTCCAGTGTGAGAGGCTCAATATAAGTATAAATTATGTTGCATTGAAGGACTATTTAAAGGGAGAACTGAATCTATTGTTGAGCTGTCCAGCTTTCAAATAACAACAATATTAAATTTTATGTTGTTATTTGAAAGCTGGACGGCTCAACAATAAAAGTAAAGGTTAACCTGACTCGCTCTTGTTAGCTCAGAGAATTTTCTGGCTTGGCCAATGTCGCTTCAACCACTTACCCAAAATTACCACATTCAATTAAATGGATTTCAATCTTACCATAATTGTTACCCTCAAAAGTTAGATGAAGGGAAGGAGTGGAACTGAAGTGTAGAGTCTGATGCTCCTCATGCTTGTTAAAGCAGAGCTCGAAGCTCGTGCAGAGTGTCTCCAGATTGAGTTGAGCAGGAACGAGCTCTTGGATTTGACTCTTTGGCTAAGTGGTCATTACTTTAACTATAAGGATACTTGACTGGCTAAGTGGGTGTGCGAATGCCCTGGCTGAGTCTGAGCGGGTGTGTACCCTGGCTGAATATGAGCATGCGAGCGCCCTGGCTGAGTGTGATTGTGTGAGCGCCGTGACCGAGTGTGAGCGAGTGCCCTGGCCAAGTGTGAGCGAGCGAGTGCCCTGGCCAAGTGTGAGCGAGCGAGGGCCCTGGCCGAGTGTGAGCAGAGCCAGCGAGGGCCCTGGCCGAGTGTGAGCAGAGCCAGCGAGGGCCCTGGCCGAGTGTGAGCAGAGCCAGCGAGGGCCCTGGCCGAGTGTGAGCAGAGCCAGCGAGGGCCCTGGCCGAGTGTGAGCAGAGCCAGCGAGGGCCCTGGCCGAGTGTGAGCAGAGCCAGCGAGGGCCCTGGCCGAGTGTGAGCAGAGCCAGCGAGGGCCCTGGCCGAGTGTGAGCAGAGCCAGCGAGGGCCCTGGCCGAGTGTGAGCAGAGCCAGCGAGGGCCCTGGCCGAGTGTGAGCAGAGCCGTACACTTCTGGCGCTAGATTGGCATTGGACTACAGGTTCGACATTTGGTTTTAATTACATCAGTTTGAAAGTTCTGAGGCTGAGAGAAGCTGCATGTTAAAGAGGGGCTGTGCTGCTTTTCCAAGAGCATTAACAAGGAAATCTTTGGCCCCTTCTTTCTCAGATGCTGCCAGACTGATATTTTTAGTCACTGATTTGGCTGTTCTAAGCTGTTTAAATACTTCTTATCCTTTCTGAAGAGTAGTTCTTTTAATGATGGGTTCTTGGCACAACAACAAATTACATTTATATAGTACCTTTCACATTGGAAGGACGACCCAAGGCACTACACAGTTAAGGGATTGTAGCCGAGCTGGGGTTGGAATCAAGAGCGGTGGGGGGGTGATGCAGTTGGGGGAAGTTTTTTCAGCCAATCTCAATGCTCGTAATAACGTGCTGCTTTATCCAGCAATATTTCTTACATTTGTGGTTCGGTCAGTGAATCCTTGATCCAAGGTCATTCTTGAAAGTGTTGGCCCTTCTCTGCTGAAGGATATGTGTGGCACAACGTGGCAGCTTTCAGCACAGGTATGTGGCTTTGAAATAGATAAAAGATCTTGTGCAGTGAATGCTGTAAAGATCACCTTCTAGTTGACAACAGCTATTCTGATTTTTCAACTGTTTATCAACTGAAGAGAGAATATCTGACAAACAGCTCAGTCTCTGGCACAATGGAGGACCCTCTTGTATGGGAACGAGTATCAGGCTGCTGTCTGATAGAGGAACTGCAGATGACATCTGACCCAGAGAATGGCTTGATTCTTTCAAGCTGGGAGAATGTGAGATACAAGATGGTCATTCCGTTGCTCAATGATCACACTCCTGTAAGAAAATCCAATGCATAAAAAAAATGAGGCATGAAGTCAAATTTAAGAAAGAAAGAAAGAAAGAAAGGGAATTCAGTAAACAATATGCATACTAGCCTTCACATTGAGCAGCAAAACCACCTGATTTCACCCCGATTCTGATCTGAAAGCGATCTCCGGCATTGGATTATTTTTTTTCAGTGAAATCATTCTTCGCTCTCTGTCCGTGCTGCCTTTTCCCAGCAGATGATGTGTGCATCTGTCTTTCTCTCTCTCTCAATTATTCGGTAATAAGATCTAGATTGAAATCTCCTCTAATGCTGAACAAGTCCTCTGAGGAAAATCATATTGCGATTAGCCCCATTATCCAAATGCGTGTTAACAATATTTTGCCATTTAGTGAATCTTGTTTCCAGCTCTTGAATTCTTCTGTGTTTTGAAATTGTATTACAAAAAGCTCTTGTTTAGATATTTAAGTTTCTTTTTAAATTTTCTTTAATCCCCCCCCAAAAAAAATCCCGTATAATCCTCACTTTTCCTTGG